ATTTCTGTGAGATTGAGGCCAGCCTGGACTACATAAGTGAGTTCCAGGTCAACTGGGACTACAGGGAAATCTTGTCCTAAAAAAAGATCAAATATGTACATATATATATATATATCTATAATATAAATATATACATAAAAGAATAAAACATAACATATAAAACCATATATTCTTTCTCTGATACATATATACACACACACACACACACACACACACACACAAAATAGCACCAATGGGAGGGCAAAATATGTATTGTGAGTGCGTGCATGCGTGTGTTTGTGATGTGTGTGTGTTCATGGCATAAATGAAGGCACATGTATACCATGGCACACACATAGGTCATACAACAACCTCAGGCGTCCATCCTTGCCTTGTTGGAGACATGGTGTGGTCTCCAGCTGTTTTTCTGTTGCACACACCAGTTGGCTGGCCCACAAGTTTCTGGGAAGTCTCCTGTCTCTGCCCCCTATCTCCTCTTAGGAACACTGTGATTACAGACACTTGTGCTACGTTTCCACCTTTAACTTGTTTTCTGAGATTCTGAATACCAGTCCATATATTTGCACAGTCATAGAGCCATCTCCCCAGCCCTCAGTAATTTCTAAAAATTAGAATTGCACTGCAAAGCATGCCTTGATTCTTTATAGAAAGTCTCAGAGACTGTATAAGATTGGATCCACACTAACCCCCAAAGGCTCAAGTGTTAAAGGCTTGTCCTCCAACCTGTGGTGCTCTTGGGAGGGAACATTTAGAAGATGGGACCTACCTGGAGAAAAGAAGTTAGATCTCTGGCAGCATGCTCTTGAAGAGGTTATTGGGAGCTATATCTATCCTTTGTTCCCAAGAATCATGAGGTGAAATATACCACATACTCCTGCCATGATGGAAAGGCAAGTCAAAATAGACCTTTTCTCTTTTAGGCTGATTATCTCAAGCATTTTGTCACAGTAAAGAGGAGCTGACTAATACAAGAACCTAAGTCTTTTCAATGCTATACTAAAGAATTAAGTAGTATATATTTTAAACTCTTTGAGCTATTGTTTTTCCCTATATCACAGGTAAAGAGGATGAGATGGATAGAAGAAGGAAAGGGAAGGGAGGATTGACAACAGTCAGAAACGGCATAATACAGGATGAATTGTGCAGGCCAGGCCTTACAGGATGAGCGAAGAGGAAGAGGCCCCAGAGACGCTGTTTACCATCATCTCCTTTTGCAGATGGGACCTACATATTTATTATCACTTGTAGTCACAAACTTAAACTGCTTGGGTACCTAAAGTTTAAGCCAGCTGTTTAAAATAATACAAAACAACTTATCACATTAACATCATACATGTTAGTAAATTAAACTACCACGACCCCATACATATACACTTGCAGTTAATTTTATAACTGCCATATGGAACTAAAAGCTCTAATTTCTAGAAAGATAAAACTAAAGGTAGTAACACTGGTTATTGAGAAACTACTTTGTTCTGGATACCTAAGTTTCTTTAAGCAATTCCTCACTTGGAAAGCAGACCTCATTATCTTTTTTTTTTTAAATGTGTATGAGTGTGTTGCCTGCATGTATGTGAGTGCACCCGTGTCGTGCAGTGCTGCGGAGGTCAGAAGAGGGCTTCAGATTCCCCTGGAACTGGAGTTAAGGATGGTTCGAAGCCGCCATGTGGGTGCTGGGACTTGAACCCGGGCCCTCTGCAAGAACAGTCAGTGCTCTTAACCGCTGAGCCATCTCTCCAGCCCCAGACCTCATTATCTTACAAATGAAAAAAATCACAGTAAGGAAGTAACTTGCCCAAAGCAACAGGATAACAAGGCCAAGAAGTTCTACCAGCTGCTGAGTAAATCCCAGGTCCCTTCCTTACTTTACATTTCCCTTCCAACAAGAACCAGAGTACTGAAAAAGCAGCAGAAACCAATTCCTCTGTATTGCCCCTAAATATATTTGTATTCGCTGGCATCTTCCCTGCACTTGAGACCTTCTCTGTCCCCTGGCTTGAGCACACTGCCCTCAGCCAGGGTGAACACATGGGCCTGTTTGACCCAGATCGCCCTGGCTTATGCCTACTGACTCTACAAAATTATCAACATCATCCCTTTTCACGTGTCCCACTGAAGAGGATGAATGAAATGGTTAACATGACCCCTGCAGTCCTTCCAGAACTACCCCGACTCAGGCCTATCTGACCCCAAAGAAGCTCAGTTACCAAGTGGGGTGGTCTCAATATATCCCCAAGTTTATGTGACAGCCTATTATGATGGAATCTAATTGTCGGAATTTTGTTGTGACAATTTTACATGAGAATAATATCTGGGCAGGACAAAGGTAGATTACTGTGGGCAGAGGAGGCTTATAAGTCAAACTAGTCCTGACTGGAACTTGAGCCTAAGTCAGGTTCCCTAAACTGTCCTCACTCCTCTAATGGAAAAATCATCAAAAGCTCATCTGATGGTTCCTGTGGCACATGTAGGCTTCTAAAGGGACTGCAGCTGCTGTCTATGAGTAAGGAACAAAAGTTCTCTAAGATGGTGCTGATATCAAACATTTTGTTCTAAATGCTTATACACGTACACACGCACATGTACACACACCAAAACACATACACAGATGATATGAAAGCTGAAGGGGGACTATTTGGAGGGAGAACAAGAACCAGTGTGATGGGGAACAAGAAAGGGTGAACACATATTAATATGAATAAAGTACATGATACACATATGTAAAGATTTCATAATAAAGCCCATTACTTTGTATGCTAATTTTAATTATTTATTTACTTTTATTTTATGTGTATGAGTGCTCTGTCTGCATGTTTATAAGCACACTCGAGTGTGTAATGCCCATGGAGGCCAAAAGAGGGCATTGGATCCCCTAGAACTATAGACATTGGTGGTTGTTAAGTTACCATGTGGATGCTGGGAACCAAACCCAGGTTCTCTTCAAGAACAATAGTATTCTTAACCTCCAAGCCATCTCTCCAGCCCCACCCCACCTTTTTAAGTAATTAAAAACAAAACTGTAAGTAATTTTAAAAACAAAGAATCATTTTGAAAAATAAACATCTAATTTCAAAGTCAGCATCTCTTAAGGTAATAATGTTTAAAATCTCAGAGCTACGAAGGAACTCTGATATTCCATAAGCCTCACTTAATGAAAAGAGGAAATTATGGCTTACATAAGTGAAAACACTGGCCTAGAATCAGAAAGGCAGGACTTCCAATCCAGTAGGAGGGCCTCAACTTAGTACATTTGCAGGACTAGAGGTGTGAAGCTCCCAGGAGATTGGTGAGGTGCATCTACAGGTGAGGGCATTTCCAGATGTAATTAAGGAGGGGAAGGCGGCCCTAAACATGGGCAGCACCATTCCACGGGCTGAGGGCCTAGATGGAGTAAAAGTAGAAAACGAGAAAGGCTGCAGTGTAGGAATTCATTCATCCTCATTCATAGTCTAACTCTCTCTCCCCCCTCTCCCTCCCTTCTTCCCTCTCTCCTTCCCTCCTTCTCTCTCTCTCTCTCTCTCTCTCTCTCTCTCTCTCTCTCTCTCTCTCTCTGCTTCCTGGCTGCTATGGTGGGAGCTACACTGCTCTACCACACCCTCCTTGACATGAGAGACTGAAATGAGCCAAAATTAATCCCTCCTCATAGTGACTATCTCATGTACTTTGTCACATGGACAAAAAGTCACTTACATGGGCCTCAAACAATGAGAACCAATGTTTCTTATACCACATCAATTTTTTTGCTTGTGTGTGCACATATTCTTATCTGTTGAATATGGACACAGACATGCCACAGCACACATGTGTAGGTCAGAGAACAACCTCAAGTTCCTTGAAATAGGTGACATGTAAACATTTCAAGATGTCATATGATGGTGCCTTTCAACCAACTTCCCCTCCAGCAACATCGGTCTGCACAACAGTGTTAGCACCTTCACTATCCTCCAATAATCTGGACTTGCTTTATAAAAATAGAAAACAAAGTGCTAGTACTAAAATAATTAATATATGAATGAGATAGTTAGGGCCACCAAAAGTATTTAGCCTCATAAATTAAAGTTCCTGTGGGGGGAAAGTAAGAACATATGAACACTTGGCAATAATTCATCAAAGATTGTGCTTTAACCATGTTTAATAATATAGGGAATGAGCAACCTACTGTCACTTAGGATAGGCTGAGCAAATGAAAATTTGAAGTTCTCATATAAATGTCTAAACTATGTGTTTAACATTTAAACAAACAAACAAAAAGCCTTCACCAGCTTAGCAGTACGTGCCTATATCCCTGCTTGGGATTACAAACTGAAAGCAGGAAGATGGAATGCTCAAGACCAACTGGGGAGTCTGAGGTCAGGCCAAGGTAAGTAAGACCTGCCTCAAAAATAAACAACAACTGAAAATATGCAAGAATAGTTTCGCCCTACAGGAATTAAATGTTGTTATAGCGAAGGTTTAACTTTCAATTGTCGGTGCTCAAACATACTTCCTGGAAACTATACAAATACCAGCACTCTGTGCATCCCACTTACACTCTTCTCAGTCTACTCCTTCCCTGTTGCCCTGGGGGCATCATCTGTGAAGGCTGACATTAACTGTCAACTAGACAGGATCTAGAATCACCCACCAGACAAGCCTCTGGACATGCCCATAAGGGACTACCTAGATTAGGTTAGCCTCTGAGCTTGTCTATAATGGATTATCTAGGTTAGATTAATTGAATTGGGAAGACTCATCCTGATTTTAGGTGGTATCATTCCATGGGCTTGGGGCCCCAGACTGCATTAAAAAGAAGAAAGCTAGCTGAGCATGAACATTCATCTCTCTCTGCTTCCTGATTGTAGATGCAATATGACCAGTTGCCTCATGCGCCTGTCACCATGCTATCCCAATCATTATGAACTGTATCCTCAAATGTGAGCCAAAATAAACGCTTCCTTTCTTAAGCTGCTTCTGTCACAGGCATTTTGTCCCAACAACGAAACAAGTAATTAATCTATCACCTGAATTAAAACCGGATTCAGAACTGAGTGTTGTAGCTCACTCTTGTAATCCAGGCACTCGGGAGGCTGAGACAGGCGCACTCGTGCAAGTTCCAAACCAGCCTGGGCTATGTAGAAAGACCTTCCCTAAAAAAATAGAAAAGAAAAAAGCAGGAGCTGGAGAGATGGATCAGCAGTTAAGGGCAGTGGCTTCTCTGGCAGAGGACCCAAGTTCAGTTCCCAGCACCCACATGGAGGCTAACAACTGTCCATAAGTCCAGTTCCAGAGGAATCTGACCTCCTCTTCAGACCTCCACGGGCATTGCGCAATGTAGGTGCACCCACCTACATGCAGGTAATACACTTGTACACATATAAAAATAAAAATAATAATTTTTTTTAAAAAAAGAAAGAAAAAAGCAAGTATGGAATATTCTGCAGCAAACTTTTTGCTTGTGCATAATTCTTCATTGCTTAGGGACCACTTACTACATTTTAATATAATGAAACCATTTTTGTTCATTATGAACAGTGAAAATACAGTAATTCAAAAAGTTTTCTTATTTAAAAAAAAAAAAAAAAAAAAACAATTTCGGGAGTTAGAGAGATGGTTAAGAGGACTTGCAGGGACCAGAGTTCAATTCCTAGCACCCATGTCAGGCAGGTCACAACCACTTGTGACTCTAACTCCAAGGGGATCTAACACCCTCTTCTGGCCTCTGCAGGCACCCACACACATGTGTACATACACACACACACACACACACACACACACACACACAGATACATATATACATGAAAATAAATAAGTCTTTTTAAAACATGAAGAAATTGATTTCCTTAGGCTAATAGGAAAATGTTCAAACTTAACAGCCCTTGCCGTCCTGCATTACGCTTGATAACTTAAAACTTCATTTGTGCCCCTCTTACTGCTCACTTTTTCATGGTTCACAGCGCAAATCATCTACTACTTAACTGCTACTGTCAACCATCTGAAATGGCACCTCTACTCCCTTCCCAGCTACCCCTTGAGAGCCCACTCACACATCTATCTTTGAAATGGCTGTGTTTACAGCTACCCATATGTCACCATTCATGAAGCAACTGTTGCCACCCTCCTGACTAGGCATTGGCAGGCACATAGCCTGGAAAGGATTGGGGACCCATGAAGAAGGGTGGCTGGGGCTCAGAGGGAGTCTTACTGTCTCCAAGTATATTTCTACCCTAAGTGTACCTCACCTGTACTATGTTGCCATGGAAACGAGGCTTTCCCGCTGAGTTCCCCACTCTCTGCTGGGACCGATCCTGTTTCTATCACGAGCACACCTCACTACCTTACCTTGCTATGTAAATGATGCTTGCCTACTGCCTGAGTCCTCACTCGACTTTGTTGCTGTGTACACTATCTATTATAAGTACATCTCAGAATATAATGCGACTAGGTTGCTATGCTATTATGGATCCTTATGAAGAATCCTGCTACAGAGTGAATTGCAAAGTCTTAAATAAGAAGGTTTTTTTTCACACTCATAGAGTTGCAACATATATCAGAGGGAAGATCAACGAATAAATGAAGTATTACCAGGGTGGTAGAAAGCAGGTGGTCCCCCTGGTAGAGATGAGAGTTGAGGAACAGAGGTATGCAAAGGGAAGCTGGGAACTCTGAACACCAAGGAAGAGACTACAGGCAACAAAAAAGCAGGCAGGAACTGGCAGACTGCGCCCACCCCTGTGCCTTTTTAGTGCCTCTGATTTGATTTCTTCCCTTCCTCTGAGGCCATTAACTAATCATGGGCCTAAAACACAATTTGGGAAAGCAATCTGGGAAAGGAACTCAACGAAAGCAAGACTCTGCCTCCCTTCCTCTCCGTCCCTATCACTACTGTACCCACATACTCCAGCCACTTTCCAAAGAGCAAACCATCATTGAGGGACAGGGAAGATGGGAAGATGGTAGAGGGGACAGGAAGGCAGAAAAGAAAACAAACTGTGGAGTCTGCACCCCTGGGGAGGGGGACGCTGGGGGTGAGGACCAAAGCCAGAGAACAGAGGCAGAGGTGGGACAACAGGGCCCCCTGACCACAGCAGCACTAGACTGAATCCCTTATCTTCTCTTTCCCTTCCCACCAGCAACAACTGAATAATCGTTTCTCTCCTTTCCTTCTTTCAATCACCCAAAGGAGATTTTTTTTTTTTTTTTCAGCAGTCAGGGCAATAGTGATATACAGTCACATGCAAATGTTCCAGTCAAGGGCAGACTGCATACACAATGGTGGTCCCATAGGATTATAATGGAGCTGAAAATCTGCCTAGCATCTAGTGACTCCGGAGTTGTCATACATTACTGCATGGAGCAAGTATAAATAAAGCTATCACACTGCCAATCCTATAAAATATATATACTATTACATACAATATATAATGCGTGATAATGATAACAAATGACTTGCGGGTATGTATTTAGATTACTGTTTATCATATTTTAGAGTATTCTCTACTTACAGAAAAAAGTTTTCTGTAAAACATGTTTACGGGGCTAGGGCAATAGTGTGTCAGAAAAGTGCCTGCCCCACATGCAGGGGGATAGGAATTCCATCTCCAGAAACCATAGCATGCTTGTAATTCCAGCCCTGGGGAAATGAAGACTGCTGGATGGCTTTGCTGGTTGTCTAGCCAGCCTGATTTACTTGGTGAGTTCCAAGCCAGTGAGAGACATGTCTCAAAAGAAAAGAGAGGCAAGGGCTGGAGGGATAGCTCAGTGGTTAAGAATACTGGCTACTCTTTCAGAGGACCCAGGTTCAATTTCCAGCACCTACATGGCATGGCGGCTAACAACCAACCTTAACTCCAGTTCCAGGAGATCTGACACCCTCTTCTGGACTCCACAGACACTGCATGCACAACGTGCACTTACATAAATGCAGGCAAAACATTCATACACATAAAATAAAACAATAAATAAAATATTTTAAAATTTTAAAAAGAAACAGATGATACCTGAGGAGCACCACACGAGGCGTCCTCTGGTTTCCATGCACAGGCATCTGCATGTATACTCCTGCACATTTGCATGCATGTGTGTACCCTCATACACATGGACACACATGCACACACATACACAAACATGTTTACCATGATTCTTGGTTGCATCAAAAACTCCATTGAGTAACTGACCTATGTACACCCCTATGATGTCCTCACAATGACAAAATACCTAGGAATACATTTCTCCAAATGTATCTCCATCATTAATCACAAGACTGTTAATGAGAGAAACAAAGCAACCCCAGAGGCTGCCAATCACCTGGCTGCTTCCCACATGGCTGACAGCAAATATCTGGACCAGGTCCCCATTTGGTTTGGTGGAGTTCTGCATCTAAACACTACCACTCCTTTTGTACGATCATCTCTGATTAACTGTTTGGATTCTCATTACCTCACACAGAGATATTCTATTCCTTTATGAAGAAACTAATTATTTTTAGAACAACAATACTAACAGCAATACATCCATTTACATAGGCTTTACAATCTTCAAAATATGTGTATCCCAATTCTTGCATTTTTCCACAAGACAATCTACCAACAGGCTGAAGAAGCATCATCTTTATTTTACAGATTGTGGGGAAACTGCACCCCTGAAAGGAGTAAGCATGCATAAAAGGCTGAGAGAATGTTCAACTAAGGATCACTAGAGTGGCTGGTATTCATTTCCCTCAATTCTTCCGCATGTATTATCAAGCCTCTTTTGAGTGTATACTATATACCAGGCACTACAAAGGATCCAGAAAGTCGGAGACGAGCCTCTACCAGTGGATTATGGGACAGAGGCAGTGACTGTCCTCACTATGTACCCACAGGAGAGCCCACCAGGCTCCACTGGGTTGTTCAAAACCCACAGTCACACAGTCTGCCACGGTAAAACTCGGTGGGTCACAAGCAAAACAAAATGCATGAATATGAAACAAGGGCTTGTGGGGTAAAGGATGATGGATATGGGAAGGAGATGAGAGAGTCGGGGTGAGACTAACCAGAACATATTATATACATGTATAAAGAAGGAAATTGAGCCAGGCATGGTGGCACATGCCTGTAGTCCCAGCACTTGGGAGGCAGAAGCAGGCAGAGCTCTGTGAGTTCAAGGCCAGCCTGGTCTACATAGTGAGTTCCAGGCCAGCAGCTGGGGTTACAGGGAGACCCTGTCTCAAAAAGACCCCCCCAAAAAAAAAAGAAAAAGAAAATTAATAAAAGTTTTATTTTTTAAAAAAGATGAGCCTGGGACTGGAAAGAGGGCTCGTCAGTTAAGAATACTGGCTGCTCTTGCAGAGGAACCGGGTTCAGCTCCCAGAACCTCCATGGTGGCTAACAACCATCCATAACTCCAGTTCCAGGGGAATCCAACACCCTCTTCTGACCTCTATAGGCATTGCATGACATGGTGACTTACATACATGCAGGCAATACACTCATACACAGAAAAATAAAAATAATAAATAAAATACTTTTTTAAAAGATAAGCCTTGCCTGGGCATGGTGGCACACACCTATAATCCCTGAACTTGGGAAGCAGAGGCAAGCAGATCTCTGTGAGTTCAAGGCCAGCCTGGTCTACATAGCGAGTTCCAGGCCAGTTGGGGCTACAGGGAGACCCTGTCTCAAAAAATAAAAAAAGATGAGCCTAACTCACCCTACCCTGTCTTTACCACGCCCCACCCCCCTACCCCCCTGGTGGACTTTGGACTCCTAGATCCCTACAGGTTCTGCATGGTTATGCTGAAGAAAGGAAGCCCAATTGATGTCATTGCTGGAGCCAGAGGCCACACTATCAGACCTCCAAAGTATACCCCTCTCACATACCAAGCTTAGTAAAGTCTGGTTTCTGGATTCACTTTCACTGTAAACACACAGAGGCTTTGTCCACAAGGAAACACAGGTAGCAAGGACAGTGAGAAGAAAAGAATTCCACCAGCTATGGCTGAGAAAAGCATCCCCTACTGAAAGCAGCATGGAGATGGAAGGTGAACATGTGCCAGTAGACTAGGATATGGACGGGAAGGAAGTATATGGCATTAGACAGATCTAGGGTGGAAGCCCAGCTCCAGCACCGACTAGCTGGAGAATTTGACACATTACTGAAAGTCTTACAG